GTTTCCGACGAATCTTCGTTCCTTTGAACGATAATCCGACGTACGAGCTAGATCTCGATCGGATATATACGTGCATATATATATATATATATATATATATATATATATATGCATGTTTCTTTTTCTTTTTTCTTTTTCTTTTATACGGAAGGAATAGTTTATCCCTTTAAACGGTTATCCTTTGTCCGTTCTTGGAACGGAACGTCGGGATACGAAGGAAGGAATGACGAAACTTTAGCCAAGTAGAATTCTTTCTTGGACGAGAAGAAATCGTCGCGTCATCGTTCGTTGTCGGCTCGTTCGTTCGAAAGACGAGCGATCTTCTCGAGTAACGTTAACGTTGTTTTCGATGCTACCGCGTACAGCATCTTCTTTTCTATATATCGCTCTCGCCGTCGTCGTGTCGTCGTCGTGATATTTCCAAGGGGCCTCGAACGCGTCGAGTGCGTTACGAAGAAACACTTGCCGGGTGGCCGGGGAAAACACTCGACCACCTCGCGGCGAGCAACGAAAACACTAATTTCCCTTTCTCCGCATCGTCTCGCGATTGGATATTAGACCCTGCCTGCCTACTTCCACTCGCGTCGTTCCTTTTGTCCTCCCTATCGGTCGCAAGCAATTTCCGAAACAAAAGTTACGCGGCATCGTGTCGAACCCGGCCAATAATTCCGATCTTATATCACCCATCGACCTAAGTATTAGGCGGCGACCGATATAATCGCGTATCTAACGGCGAAATGGAAGAGAGGGAACCCGCGTTATTACACGCTATCGAGAACTAATTTGAATCAATTTACTTTACCTAACCTCTCTCTACTCCGCGTCGCGTGGACGTGACGATGTCGCCGCCAATCGGTAATACAGATATCGAGAACCTCGCGCGTGCGCACGATCTAAGAAAGAAAAAGACGAAATAAAAGGGAATTTTTCAACGCGATATTATCGCGTGATACGCGATAAAAGTGGAAAAGTTGGAAGGTGGAGTGAAGCGGGGATCGATTTCGCACGGACGTCGATCTCCACCGATCTCCGTGGTCCGTTAACTCCTGTACCGCGCTAGAGAGAGAGATGGAGAGAGAGGAAGAGAGAAATCGCGCGAGCGATTTCGTTAAATCTTTCGCGCCTCCCTCCTCCCCGCCGCCAATCGTAAATCGTAAATCTGTCTAATCGAACGATTTATCGGCATTATCGAATCGGCCTCTCTCGATTCGTCCAACCACTTATCGGTATCGCTCGCCCTCCTCCCCCTCCCCCGCTATTGTACGTACGAGCGTAAAAATCGTACGGTCGAGCGCGAGCTATTATATACGCATCGATGCCATCCCTCCGCCGTACTTCGCCCCCTCCCCCGCCCCCGGCCCCTTTCTTTCGCGGTCGATAAATTTCGAAAAAGGCGCGACGCGAGGAGCGAGGAGGAAGGAAGATACGTCACGTTAAAATTAATCGAAGGGTGAGAAAGAGATAAGAAGCGGAGGGGGAGGGGGGAGGGGGGCTCGCGTTCGATCTCCTCCCCCCCCCCTCCGATTCTCCACGGGGATCGGGCGCGGGGGAGGAGAGGGGGGGGGGAACCAACTTCTCTCCCCCTCCCCTCTTCTGCGTGGAGCTCGGCCCCTCGTAAATCAAGGATTAAATCGGATGCGTGTAATTCGCAGCAGTTTTAACCGTAAACAGTTTAATCTCGGTCTCGAATCGAAATCGGTCACGTCAAAACAATGGATTCTTTACGGCGCGGCCGGGCGCACCGTAAGCGCGTGGACCCTCTCCCCCCTTCCTCGAGCGAGAGAGAGAAACGTAACGAGCGGAACCGTTTAACGCGCTCCTTCCCCGTATACACGCACAACACACCTCGGAACGAACCGATTCTCTTCCTTTCGTCGAAAAAGACTTCTCGTTCGTTTCGACGGCAGGGTAGATAGAATATAGAAGATATACAGAATACAGGGTTTAGAGTTTAGATATTTATATATTATGTTATATAGGGGGCGATATCGATTCACCTTCCTTTCGATTCTTCGAGCGGAAAGAAGGGGAGGAGGAGGAGGAGGAGGATCTCGAATCTCGAGCGCATCTCGGTTTCCAAAGTTTATTCGGCTATATAAAGCACGTGACACGCGGTTCCACTACGCGGGAGACGGAGGATGGAGGATATTCGGCGACATATGCGTACGTGCGCGAAAGCAATATCGTCGTGTACATGTATATATGTATATATGTGTATATATATATATATAGTAGGGAGGGGGGGGGGGGAGGACAGAGGCGGAAGCCAGCGCGTGGAAAAGGGAAGCGGAGGAGGGAGAGGAGGAAGGTTGGAAACGGGATAGTCCGGCCACAGCTTGCGGGGATGCGAGCTTTCGAGCGCACCCCACGAATGTTAACGCGCCGCATTAACTCGGGGGTATCGGTGGTTAGAAACGCGAGCCCCGGCAATAATTCCGATAACACAGCATGTTGTCGCGTTTACCCGGCATACCAAAACGTCGCCAGTCCTTTCTTTCACTCTTTCCTTCCTTCCTTTCTTTCACGCTCTCGAAACGAAGCGGAAAACTTTTGCGCTTCTACGCGTCCGAAGAATCGCGAAAAATCGTAGACACGGACGGACGGACGCGTAGGTTGGCCGAGGAGCGCGTAGGAGGCGCGAAAATCTCGAGCGTGGGCGAGCCGTGCGGTGACCACGCATGGACGGTTTAAGGAGGGAGGGGGAAGGGGGAGAGTAGGTAGCCGCTCGTACGGAAATCTATCCCCGCGTCGGCTCCCTTCTTCCATGCCCGGGACCTTTGCTCACCGCCCTGTAATCATCGCGAGCGTCAGTGGCGGCGGCCGCTAATTATGTTTCATAACGCTTCTTACCGCCCCACTCCGATGCCCACTCCCTCAGGGGCGGTCGCTCGTCATTTATTATTTACATCGTGTTCGTCCCGAGGGTATTCGTCTCCCGCTTCGCTTCGTTCGCCGACCTTCCTTATCGGCCCCGATATTTCCGAATCGACTTTTCGGTGGACAAAGACGACGAGAGGATTGTCAGATTTTTCTCCTCTCCGAGAGAGAGAGAGAGAGAGAGATCGGCATCGTCATCGAGTTCATCTTCGGTGGAGGAGGAGGAAGAGTTGGCGCGTCGCGGAAAGAATAAGTGCCGCGTAACCGCGCGGCGATTCGTCAACGGATCAACGTCACGCGGCGGTAAGCAGATTACTAGCAGGACGAGCCGCTCGAAGGAAAAAGAACGACCGATCCGTCCGTCGAAAACAAATTCGAAACGGTTTCTCCTATCTTCCAGACTGCTGTTACTACCACGTTACTACTAAATACATGTGTATATATATGTATATATATATATATACGAAGAGAAATAAAACGATCTGTTCCGCGCTTTGACGCGGTTTCAAAATCCTTTGAAGCGGTTTCGCCTTCCGGATCGTGAACGCGTGGAAAAATTCGATCGCGAGAATTAAAGTTTGGATACGAGCGGAAGCCGTAACCACCGACCATCCGGCTTCTTCCATTCCTTTGATGCGGCGAAACGATCTCTCGAAACGGCGGGGAAAAGATAAGACGCGAGAATCGAAGAGAGAGAGAGAGAGAACGATTATATTTATCTTTCGCGGGATATAATAAAACGCGGGGGATATTGAATCGCGTGAAATTTCTAACTCGCGTAATCGGTATCGCGGTCCGTTTTTTCTACGCGTTAAACCGTGTAATTACAATAATCCGGCGATGAATATCGCGCGCGATACACGTATCGCTACCTACGTATTTAGCGAGCCGGCCAATTTCCTCCTTTATTATAATAATATCCGGACCGATTCTTCTCTCCACCGCTCCTCTTCCTCTTCACGGAAGGTATTCTCTCTCCTTTCGCCGGAGAAAACGTGAGAGGGAGTCGCGGCAATTTTCCAAGGATCGGAAAGGCCGTGGGGACGGCAACAAAACGATAAATCGCGCGCGCGCGCGCGCGGCAACCTATGGGCAAACTCGAGAGGGACTAGGAGAGGAAAACGGTGGTCCCTGTCAGCGATTGCCCCCTCTCGCGAGAAAAAATGGCAGCTGCCGCGGCTATAGATACGAGGGCCGCTCTTCTCGCGCCACCCTTCTCGGTGGCGAGGGGAGAGAGAGAGAGGGGCCGAGCGTGCCGAAACAGGGCAACTTCCGTGGCGGAGGTGAGAGGAGAGAGGCTCGAACGAACGAAACAACGGCTCGGCTGCTGGACGAACGGGTGAGGAAGGAAGAGAATCGCGAAAGGAGGAGGAGGTGGGGGCGTCGCGTAGCACGGACGACCATCTCTGTCGCTGTCGCCGCCGCCACCGCCACCGCCATCGTCGTGTATATACCTCCTACCACCGGCATCGAGAGACGATCGCGGTGGCAGTGATGCCGATTACCACCGCGATCGGTAACAACGTTTCAGCGGCAAGAGGAGGAGAGGGAGAAGCGTGTATCGCAGGGGATGAGAGAAAGAGAAGAGAGGAGAAGGTGTACGCGCGCGTGGAAAGACAGCTGGGCTGCTGCTGCTGGCTGCTGCTGCTGCTACTCACAGCCACGACGGGGTGGAAGGACGGAAGCGGTAATAAGGTGGTCGTCGAGCTCTCGGTCAATTCCCGAGGAAGAGGGAGAGAGCGAAAAGGGGGACGAGGGAGAGGGAGAGAGAAAGAGAAGGGGCGGGGCCAAGCGGAGATCGTTCGGGCGGAGCTTGGCACGAAAGGTACCGCCTACCTCGCAGGAATCGCCTTTTCTCCCCGTTGGATCAACGCCGGCCCCCCATCGTCCTCCACCTCCTCTTCCTCCTTCTTCTCCTTCTCCTCCTCTTTCTCCTCCTCCTTCTTCCGTCGTCGTCGCGGTCGCGGTCGTCATCGTCGTCGCGGTCGTCTTCGTCGTCGTCGTGGTCGTCGTCGCGGTCATCCTCCTCGTCCTCGTCCTCGTCGTCCTCGTCGTGGAGATCGGGATCGTCGTCGTCATAGTGGTAGTAGCGATCGTCGTGATCGTCCTCGTCGTGATCGTCGTCGTCGTCGTTGTCGTCGTCTCACCCCGAGAACGAGCGTCGAGCGGTGGCGCGCGTTCTCTCCTCTCTCTCTCCCGTTGCGTCGCGGACGATCGAGCTCCCGCGAAGCGGCGCGCCGGGGGTGGGGGCCGAAACGAGAAGCCGGCCGCCGGTGGCGCGGGTCAGTCTGTCGGGCAACCGGTCGGTCGGTCGCTCGCTCTCTCGTTTCTCGCTCTGTCCGCGCTCTCCGCTCGACTCGACTCCACCGCGTATCCGTACTACTCGCGCTCCGCATCGCGCACGCATCGCAATCACGTTCCTTCGTTCCTTCGTTCATTTCGCGACGACGAGTGCGTGCAGATCGAAAGAGAGAGAGAGAGGAGGGAGGAGAGAGAGGAGAGAGCGTCTCGGATCGGGTCCAATTTTCGCTCGCCTCCGCGCACATCCAGGTGGATATTCAGGGGGATGCGCGCGCCTAACCTTTAACCCCGGACGTGGACGGGCCGAACGTGGCAGGACGTGGCGCGCGGCGAGTCGGTGACCTTGGCTAGGAAAAGGGATAATGCGGAGAAAGGATCGTCGTTTACCTCTGCTCGGACGGATCGATCTCCTCTCGTTAGGACGTGTTCGTGTCACGGCGGAACAAGAGGTGTAACGGAGAAGACGGAGCGACGAGGAGGCGAGGGAGGAGGAGAGGAGGAGAGCAGGAGCGCGAGGTGATGTTGCTGGAGTCGCGAGGTGGTCTCGCCGGTAGGAAGAGAAACGGATTGACGGTGTCTTCGTTCGGTGGCGGCGGTGGCGGCGGTGGCGGCGGCGGCGGCGGCGGAGGCGGAGGCGGAGGTGCCGGCTGCGGCGGCAGCGAGGAGGACGACGAGGAATCTCGACATCTGTTTCTTGGAAGAAAAATGCAGACCGAGGGATCCGCCGCCTCCACCGCGGTCTCCACCGGTTTGTCACCGGGGTGTACGCGCGACGACGGTGACGATAGTTCCACCCCTTCGCCCAACGCCAGCCTTCTCAACAATCTGAACAACAATTGCAATTCGAATCGACAATGCGCCACCGACTTTAGCATCGCGGCCATCATGGCGCGCGACTCGAGGCAACAGCAGCACCAACAACAGTCTCAACAACTCTCGCCCCATCACTCGCAAACCTCGCCGTCTCAGCAACAACAACAGCAGCAGCAGCAGCAGCAGCAACAACAACAACAACAACAACAACAACAACAACAATCTCATCATCATCGTCAGTTGCAGCAACAGGCCGTCGGCGGTGGAAAATTGCATCAACACGGTGAGATCTCTCCTTCCATCCTTGTTTCTTTTTCCTTGTTTTTTTTTTTCTCTTTTTCTCAACGTCGTGGTCGACCGAATCGGTTATCGGTTGAAACGGGACGAAAGGGGAGGACGCGTAAAAAAAAAGAAAGATAAGAAAAAGGAAAAGGATCGATGAGACGGCGCGGTTAATGAATTATTTAGTGGCGAACGAATGGGCGCGTAGGGGCGCGAGAAAAGATTGGCGACCAGGTGAGGTGTCTGATCGGAATTCTGGAAACGAGCGTGGCTGCTTTCCGAGCTCAGCCAGACGTCCGAACCGTACGCTGGACGGTGTTTGGTTTCATCATCGCGTATCTTGGACGCCCGCGGCGAATAATCGCCCACGAAGATTCTACGCGGGCGAAATTTACGATTGGCCACGGTGCAATTCACCCACGGAAACGGACCATCGTTCCCAAATAAACTCGGGTAAACGGCTGCCGATGAATCGGCCAATCTCTCGTCTCTACGTGTGTACACGTGTGTTGGACACGCGCGACTTGCTCTCCTTCCACCTTCTCCTCCTTCTCCTCCTCCTCTTTCTCCAGCTACCTAGTTTACCGCTTTGCCGGTAAACAAATCGTTCGATATAAATCCCGATCTTGTTAATCGAGCAGATCTCCCTTACCGAGATCAAAGCTCGAGATTTAAAGCGTCGACGTGGACGTTTTCCTTTCCTTTTATTTTTTTTTCTTTTCCTCTTCGAATTCTTTCGCGAAAACGAACAAGATCTTTAATCGAGATAAAACGATAACGATTTTCCACTCGGATCGGATCGTTGGATAACCGGATATCGAGGTTATTTTTCGCGTATAAATAAACGCGATAGCGAATAGCAAGGGGTTTCGCGAACGTCGGCCGGCCATCGAAACGAAGAGACGACACGGTCGGTCGGTAACGGGGCGACACGGTTCGTTCAGCCGTGTAATATCACATCTCGCGTCGTTGCTCGAGTAAAACTTTTCGATCGTCGTTGCCGACAAACAACGACATTTCGAGGGAAAAGCGGAATTAGCGAAGGAGATGCGAAAGAAGAAAGAAAAAGGAAAATGTGAACGGCGATTTTCATCTCGGTCAACGACATCGCGTTGTCTCGCGACCGCGTGCGCGCGCGCCAACAACCACGCTCGAAATACCTGCCGCTCGAAAAGAGACGAGAAGAAGAAGAAGAAGAAGAAGAAGAAGGAGGAGAAGAAGAAGAAGAAGAAGAAGAAGAAGAAGAAGGAGAAGAAGAAGCAGAAGAATAAGAAGAAAAAGAAGTTCGGTCGATCGATAATTCGGTAAATTTTCATCTCTTCCATTCGAAACGGAATGGAAAAATCTCTTTCCTTCCTCGTTCCTTGACGTTACCCGTCGGATCGCGTATATCTGATCGATTTACCAATCGTTTCGCCAACCGACAAAATAATCTTTTAAATGTCCGTCGACGGATCGATCGATCGCTCTCTCTTTTCCTGCGATCGGACAGGTAAATAGATACGTCCTATCGATTTTTCTAGAACGAATTAGATTCTATCTTATCGACGGATAAAAATACGAATACGAGAGAGGGGGAAAGGCGGTATTCAAAGGGGAAAGATTAAGTAGAATCTCGCGTTTCTCGCGATCCGTCCTCTTTGATCCGCGCACGGAATCGTAACTCGTTTGACGAGGTCGCTCGTAAACGTCTGCGTATACAGAAGCAACGAATCGTTTCCACACCGCGACTCGTCATCCGTTTCGTCGCTCGTTTAACACCGCCGTTCGCCGTGTCGAATAAAAATAAGCAGATGACGGATCGCGACCATCCCTCCCAACCTTCCCTTCAACCACGGCCAATTAGCCGCGCCACGAAAATTAGCCTCCCTCCTTTAAACGGTATAACCAAACGGTCGCTAGGATCCTTTTCGTAGGATCCGTCGGGAAACAAACGTTGTTGGCCGAATTAATCGATGGTCGGGGAAAGTGAAAAAGAGATCGAACATGAAGAAAGAGAGAGAGAGAGAGAGAAAGAGAGGAGGAGGAAAGAAATGGAAAATCGATGCGAGGCCGAGCGAGAATATTCCGCCGTTTTACCTTGGCCGGGAAGATTGTAATTTCACGAACCGCTGCCGCCACTTCGCTCGGCATCGGGATCGGTGGATAATAACGTTAAACTAAAGCAACCTCCGTCGTAAGTGGATAATTATCCTTTAGCACCAGCTACCTACTACGGCGTCGTTATTATCTCGGCCGTAGGAAGACGCGGCCGGCTTCGCTTTAACGAATAACACCGCGAGAGGAGAGCAGTGGAGAGGAGAGGAGAGGAAGAGAGAAAAAGAGAGAAAATTAGCGTCGTGCGCGCGATATCGGTCAAATGTCATTATCGGAGATTTCATTTTTCCTCGAGGAAAACGGTGGTGTCTTTTTTCCTTTTTTCCTTTTAAAAGCATCGCGCGTGTTCCAGAGAGGGAACCGAGCGTTTCTGGCGTGGTCCGGGGTGGTGGTGGCGGTGCAGCTCCTCCCGCGCCGATCCAGGAGGCGATCCTGGCGGAAGACGATCCGGAAACGGACGACGCCGGAAGTAGCAGCGGCAAAGTAGCTTCCCCCGTCAATCCTCTCCTCCAGGAACGGTCCAACTGCGAAGAGCTCAGACACGTGGCGTGTCATCTCGAGACGAAAGACTTGTGGGACAAATTCAACGAGTTGGGTACCGAGATGATCATCACGAAAACTGGCAGGTAAGAGTGGATTTTATCGTAATCAAGTTCGCATTCTTTCACCCTTCTTTTTTTTTTTTAATACGATTACGTACATAATTTTTCTCCTCCGTGATTTCGCCACGGTTTATTGGGAAAAACTAGAGCGGGCGAGAGGAGGGAGGAAGAAAGAAAGGAAGGAAGGAAGGAAGGAAGGAAGGAAGGAAGGAAGGAATCCGAGTTTCTAGCTTCTCTCGTCCGCGAGGCGAGTTCGATTCATTAACAAAGGACGGGTTGATAAATAAAAGCATTACTCACGCTCGTGGCGCTGGCCGGGATGAATGCATACCGGAGTCGACAAGGACTCCGTAGGAGAAGACCGTAGATAAGATCGGCGGGTGTCCCCGCGTTTTAGTGGTCGAGCAGCGGGGGGCCCGACACGGTATTAATGTTTGGCCTCCGAGGCAAAACATTCACGCCAGCCTTCGTCCTCTCTCTTTCTCTCTCTCTCACTCTCGCCTCGGTGTCACGACACCATCGCGGTTATACTTTTATATATATATATGTATATCTATATGTGTATCTTTCTTCTTTCTCTCTCTCTCTCT